CACTGAAAAATCCCAAAGTGCACAGGGTTCAGCAATAAAATAAATGACRGTGAGCTCAGCTCGTTGATCTAAAAATCTGAAGGCATTTCTATTAAAAAAACCCGCAATTGTTGAGAAAAATGCCGATTTTTGGTTCAAATTGTCACCAAAAGCATCACATGCCCCTTCCAGCCCCCAAATTACAGCTGCTGATCCCATCACAGCTCTTTCTGCAATCTTTCACACCCAGAAGGGCAGGACCACTCCAAAGAGTTCACCAGGATTAAAAACTGCCGAGTGTCCCCTGGGAAGATGGACCGTACAAATGAGATTTCCACACCGCATCCGAGGCAAAAAATCCCCATCACATCAAACACTCTCTGAGCCGTTCAGCCCAGAGAGGGAAAAAAAGGACTTATCCAGAATCCATCAGCCATTTTGGGGAGGTTTAAAAGAAACTTTGAGACGTTTCAGTAGCCTAAGAGTGCGTGATGGCAGCTGGGAGGTTGCCTSAAGTTGTTCTTATCAGGAACCTTCTCTCAGCAAAGACAAATTCAGCTCCACAACCACACAGCCACCCCTGGGCTCTGCCTGCTCCTGCTGTAAATTACCTCATCCATTTGTCATATTTTTAGCACTTTTTGGGCTGGGCTGCCAGATCTGCAAGAGATGAATTTTAACCTTTGCTCGCCACTACTCAAGGACAGAAGCGGCGAGGGCTCGTGAAAAAATGTCAGCGTTAAATTCCTGTGCGGAGCTATTTACTGAAGCTTTCCACAAACTAATTAAATATAAGGCTCTCGTGGGACATGAGGAGAAAGAAAAGGAGAATTAAGAGATAAATCACCGGCTTTTCTTTCCTCGGCAAGTGTACACTCCAATTTAATATATTAAACCAAAAAAAACAACCCGACGGTCCTCGCCGGGGCACGGAGAGGCGGCAGCCCCATCTCGCACAGAACACAAATTAATTATCTCTGCCTTCCCACAAGTTGCACAAAGGAATTGGGAGAGACAACCCAGGCGTGGGGATGAGCTGGAGATATCAAAGGCTCCATGTGGAGCCCACGGAATCTCACCCCGCAGCTTCCCAGGGTTGGYGAGCACATGGCACGGGGAGGGATCAAAGCAGCAAGGTCCTGGCAGGGGATTCCTACAGCGTGACACGGAGCCCTGCTGGAGCTGGGGGTGTTCAGCATGGAGAAATGGAGACTCAGAGGTGACCTCAATATCTCTACAGCTTCCTGAAAAGTGCTCGTAATTCAGGTGGGGTCGGGCTGCTTGTCCAGGCAGAACGAGAGGACTCAGCCTTGAGCTGCACCAAGGGAAATATGGGTTGGATATGAGGAAAAGGTTTTTTATAGAAAGAGTGATAAAGCACTGGGATGGTCTGCCCGGGGAGGGGGTGCAGTCACCACCCCTGGGGGTGTTAAATACGGATTTGGGGCTGGGGGCCGTGGGTTGGGTGAGAGGTTGGGGCAGGGGTTGGACTGGAAGATCTTGRAGGGCTCTTCCAAACCTCTGTGACTCTGTGATTCACTCCAAGGAGTCCCACGGGGATCCTCTCCATGAGCAGAGGGGACAAATCATGGAAGCAAACCCAGCACAGGCTCTGCTGGCTCCAACCGAGGAGAAAAACTCAAAATCATCACAGATGTTGGGGAAAATCTCCATGTGCAGGCACCTCTGTGGGTTAATTCCCTTCTGCAGAAGAGGGAGGATATTGAACCCCGAGATGTCGGGGACTGTGGGATTATCAGGCAGTCCAGCACATCCTCTGGTGGGCAGTTATAGAGTCAAACCAAGAGCTTGTTCAGCCCAGTCCCAAACACCTCCACCGAGGGATAGACAGCCCAACGGGTCACCAGGAGAGAACCCTTTATCCTTTCCACATCCCCTGACCACTGCACAGCGACTTTTAACCAAAGTCTCCACCTTCAGGACTCATTTCATTCCAGGGTTGATATCCCCATATAGAAAAACCCCAGGGAGAGCCAAATTCAACCCAAAAGAGTCYGAGAAGCAGCTGCTGGGAGACAAAAACACCTAAAGCTCATGGTCATGGGAGAACAGAAAATTTCACTCATCCACACCCCATYCCTGAAGTGTCCAAGGCCAGGCTGGACAAACMTGGGACAGTRGGAGCTGTCCCTGCCCATGGRATGAGCTTCAAAGTCCCTCCCAACCCAAACCATTCCATGATCCTTTACCCTGCTGYCCTTTTTTCAATAAAAACCCCAAGCTCATTCAGCAGCAGAAAAATCAAAAATTTTGCATGGCAATGATCTATTAATCAACCCATTCTTTAAATGGTTTCTGATTAACCACTTAAGGCTATTAAATTTTTAAACAAAGCTCCATCGTTCCATTAGCAATCATTTAAAGTGCTTAAGGAGGTGTTTGTGGATTAAGAGCTTTAAAGGAAACCTCTAAACACCGCTCCCAGC